TGATTCGATATAAAATTATGTAGTGCTTATGTACTAGATTCTTATATACTAGTGTTAGTACTTATATAGTCATTATATAACACCTCCCCCCTTAGAATAAAGATTGGACGTTGGCGTCTGATCTTTGGGTGGTGTTCAGAGAGTCGTCTTCGTCTTCGGAGATGCATGATGGAGCTGGAGCTGGACTTCTTATTGTTGCCATTGGGATGGCATGGACTCGTGTAGTTCGTCGTCGCGACGAACCGAGGCAATTGTTGAAAATTTGAATACAGTGATTTTTACCATGATGATGTTGACGTTGAAGTTTCATGTACTTCTTTAAGAGTACGTATAAAATTATTAAAAGTACAAGACTTCCGGTTATGATGGTGAACCAGGAAAATCCATTTTGGTTTCTTTCGATAAACGGTTTTCTTTTAAACTTTTGAATTTCTTCGTTTTGATTATTTAATTGATTCTTGATATTGTTCAAAGAGTCTAGAGGAACTTCATTAATGGAAATAGGAAATAAATAAGGGATTTCAACGTTCTTATTTTCTTCGATGCAGTCCTGGATATCTAGTTGAGGGATGACAATTGGGGAAGTTGTATTTTCTTTCTTGGATCTATGTGCTGTTAAAGTACTGTAACCTGTGTGGAGTTTGCAATTTTCTTTTAAATTAATTATTCCGGATCCTTGTATTTGGTGATGGGATATTTCGTCGTCACATTGAAGAACACAAGGTGTTAGATTAGTCAGGATGTAGAGCCATCTGTTGTCGTCTAGTGATTGAAAGGTATTAATTTGTGCAGCAAATGTAGAGCTCGTGCAGGTGCTTGGTATTTTCTTGGAGGCGCCAAAGAGGACTTGCAGTTCGCATATTGGACGTGTGTCTGCATCATAGGTGATAAGGTCGTTACAAACGCTTTTCTTTTCGGCGAAAGTTTTGCAGTGGTCCAGTGAGCTTGTTGAAATGTATAATTCGCCGCTAGGGTTTGTAGCTAAAAACTTATGCTCGGGTAGGATGGTCGTGTAAAGGGAGGAATTAGGATGTTGGATAGGAGTTGAATATATATGGTAAAGTTTTAAGGGTTCGGATTTTATAAGTGGGAAATCTAGAATGTAAACTAATCTATCTGAGTACACACAGGCGGATAGTTGGGCTGAGTCTAATATACTATTAATATTATGGATAGTAACAGGGAGAACTAATTGTTTATTTGATCTAGCGTGGTTGGATAAAAGAAGATCTTGATATAGTTTATTAAGGGATATAATAGAAGGGTGTATAATGTTGGCTTTCGCAAATAGAATGCTAGAAAGAATTTCATTGATTTCGTATTCTAGACTTGTTATTATTTCGAGAACTTGGATAGAAATAGTGGAAATGTCTTTACTTGCTTTGTTGTCGAACATAATTTTGATTGATTCACTTAGGTATTTATTTAATCTATTAATGTTTTCGTTAAACTAAAGTTTCGTGTATGTGGTATGGTCGAAGACGATTTGCATGCACAAGTTGGTTTCTATTTGATTTTTGTATGATATAATTATGGTTAAAACCAACTCTTATAATTTGAAAGGGTCCATCCCACTTTTGGTCTAGATTATTTGGGTTCGGAACTCGTAGCATCACCTTATCTCCTACTTTGTATTCAATTAAGTTTTTTATTTGACTGTCGTATCTATCTTTAGCTTTTTCTTTCATAGATTGAATGTTCCTCAAAGCAGAATCTCTAGCAACCCTAAGTCGTTCATTTAAATCTTTTAAATAGTCACAGGCCGTATAATCAGGTATAATTTTCATCGAGTAAAATGGACGTGGTTTGTACCCAAATAGCAATTCGTGAGGTGTATAATTAGTAGAACTGTTCACCGATGTATTGTGGCATATAATTGCAAAAGGGATTATTTTATCCCAATTCTTTAGACGGCGACTGTGATACATTCGTATATGGTCACGTAACGTGGCGTGAAACCGTTCAAGGGAACCATTTGTTTGAGGATGATATGCCGTGTTAAACGTATGATCGGAACCTAAAAATTTGGTTAATTGTTTTAAAACGTTATTCGTGAATTCGGTACCTTGATCCGAATGAAATCTTTTAGGTACCCCAAAGTGTTGGCAAAAGTGAAGTAGTTCTTTAGCTACTGTAACGGATTCTTTATCGGGGATTGGGTATGCTTGCACAAATCGAGTCAAGTCATCTTGGAGAGTTAAGATATATTTATTATTGTTGTCACTGATGTCGGAGTAAGAGACAAGATCTATGGAAACTCGTTCGAAAGGCTCAGTGGATTGTGACGTAATGACCATAGGTGCTTGAAAGTTTTTCCTTTGGATTTTGTTTCGTTGGCAAATGACGCATGCTTCCACATAATTTTTTATGTCGTTGGTCATACCCTTCCAAAAGTATTCGTCGCGAATTTTTCTGGTAGTTTCAACAATTCCACGATGACCTGAGAGAGGTTCGTCATGGTACATTTTCAGTATATGAGGGATTTCTTCAGGTTTAGGGTGTATGACTTTGTTTTGGCAAATTGTAATTTCGCAATTATAAGTGTCCGCAAGGTATGCAGTTATACGTAGTTGTTCATTACCCACTAGTTTACAGGTAGGGTCATTTTTTAAATCGGGAACATAGAGATTTTGAATTTTATTTTGTTGAAGACATGACATTAAGGCTTTGAAATAACTTTCGGAATCCCATGGGTCAAAATGGTTCGGTCTGGTAGGGCAAAAGAAAAGGTTTTGGTTTTCATTTGAGATTACAAGGTCGACGTCGTATAGTGATTTATTTTTTTCTAGAAAAGGTTCTACCTGAGAGCAAGAACGTATAGCTTCGTTGAATATATTGTTTTGATCGGAATTTAGACATGAAGTTGGAATAAATATATTTTTATGTTTTGTATCTAAAATATTGTCGGGAGATATTTTTAGTCTTGGAGTATCGAAGGATTGGTCTCTTGAAATATAATGTTCGTAATTCATTTGTAAATAATCAATGGAGTTAGTTTGATTTGAGTCGTCTGAAGTTAAGTCAATGATGTTGGAATTAAGTATTGGTGGTCGTGATAGTGCGTCAGCATTTGTATTCATTTTTCCTGCTTTATATACGATTTCGTAATCGTACTCTTCTATTTTTAATCTCCATCGTACGAGTCGACTGCCTAGATCTTTTATAGAGAATAACCATGTTAAAGGTTTATGATCTGTGACGATTTTGAATTTTCTTCCGAAGAGATAGGGTCGAAAGTGTTTTACAGCCCATACAATCGCTAGGAGTTCTCGTTCAATTGTGGAATAGTTAGATTCGGCTTTGTTTAAGGTGCGAGAAGCGTACGCTATTGGCAAATCTTTGCCAACTTCTCCCTGAGATAGTATAGCGCCGATGGCATGAATTGACGCATCTGTAGTTAGGACAAATTCTTTACTAAAGTCGGGATATTGCAAGATAGGAGTTGTAGTAAGAATAGTTTTACATGTATCGAAGGCTCTTTGTTGAGATTCACCCCATGTGAATGGGATATCCTTTTTTAGAAGGCTTGTCATAGGCTTGGTAATTTGGCTGAAATTTGCTATAAAGCGACGGTAGTAACCTGCGAGACCTAGAAAAGACTTAATGTCTTTACACGATTTGGGAATAGGAAAATCTATCACAGCTTGTACTTTATCCGGATTGGGCTTGACACCTTCGCTAGATATTATATGTCCTAAGTATGCTACTTCTTTCCTGAGGAACTCACATTTGTCGGGTTGAACTTTTAATCTGTGCTCCCTGAGTCGGTCGAAGACCTCTTTTAGTTTTTGTTCATGTTCCTGGAGACTTGAAGCAAATACAACGATATCATCTAGGTAAACAAAGCATCGTTCGCCTTGTAGTCCATAGAGTACACTATCCATGGCGCGTTGGAAGGTGGCAGGTGCGTTTTTTAATCCGAATGGCATTCGCAGAAATTCATAATGTCCATAAGGGGTATTGAAAGCGGTTTTTGGAATATCTTTACAGTTAAGTTCAATTTGGTGAAATCCGGAGGCAAGGTCTAGTGTAGTGAAATAGATAGAGTGTCCTAGTTTGTCGAGAATGTCCGTGATATTAGGTAAAGGATAGCTATCGCCAATTGTTATATCGTTTAGTTTACGATAGTCTATCACGACTCTCCATTTTTGTTTACCCGAAGCATCTTGCTTCTTGGGAACTACCCAGATTGGACTGCTCCACGGTGAGGTACTAGGACGTATAATATTTTCATTTAACATTTTGTCTACTTGGGACTTTACTTCTTGTTGATGGACGTAGGGGAATCGATATGTTTTTGTATTAATAGGTGTTTCTGACGTGGTAGGAATGGTGTGTTTTGTGTGATTTGTAAATGTCAGTTTATCGCCTTCGGTATAAAAGATGTCTGCGTAGTTGTAGATTATTTTATTGAGAGATTCGCATTCTTCGAGATTTAGATGATCGCGTCTTATTAATTTGTCTATCTTTTCATAATTCTGATGGGTTGAATTGTTTGTGTTTATAGAATTGATTTGGAAACTATCTTTAGACTCGGTGTACGGTGTTAAATTAGGAATATTTGGAGTGGAAATATACTTATCTTCGTCGCTGGAGTTTACGCATGTTATCAGAAAGTTATTATTATTGACGTTAATGAGTGCATTAGGAATAGTTAGATGTTCGCCTATCATTTGTTTGTCGAGAATGGCCATACCGTTAATGATCGCGTCATTGTGGCAGATAATTACGGTTTCCGACCGTTTCGGTATAAGTTGCTTATCTGTAAAATGATTATTGAGTTGTTCGCCTAAGAAAAAGAGTTTGTATGAAATATCCCGAATTCGCATAGTTTTTGATTGGATGTATATATTAACATTAAATTTTGACATGAAATCGTTACCTAATATTCCGTCAGCGGAAATGTTTAGGTTAGCAATATGGAATTTGTGTTTAGGGAATTGGTCAAGAGATATATCGGATGTGCCTAAGTTTGAATTGTAGATTCGGTATTCGAGACACCTATTATGGATACTTTATTTGAGGAGTCGATTAAGTTATTACCTATTTTGTTCTTTTGTATAACAGAGATGGCTGCTCCTGTGTCTATTAATAATATGAGTGGTTGGCCGTCGACATGGAACTTGCAATGTAATAGGTTTTCGGGAGGTATGTTTAAGGATTTTATATTATATGATTTGGTAACAGATTTGAGTTCGGATTTAGGATTTTTGAATTTTAGTTTCGGTTTAAGTTTTGTTTTGGCACGCGATTTGGATTTAGTGAACTTTGTAGAGGTAGTAGTGTTTGTAGAGAATTTTGTAACGAGCTTGGATGATTGAATCGGTTCAGAATTTCTGTTTGATTTAGTAGGTTTACTAGAGTTAGGAGATTCGGTGGAAATAGTAGATTCTGTGGAGAAACCGAGAGTTTGGGGCTGGTTACCCTGTTCGTAGGTTTCCTTTGAAGAGTTTGGAAAGGATTTTGTAATATGTTTGGATGATTGAATTGATTTAGAATGTGTGCTTGATTTAGTAGAATTAGTAGGGTTAGAAGATTCAGTGGATATAGAAGATCTTGTGGGGAAACCGAGGGTTTGGGGCTGGCTACCCTGTTCGTAGGTTTCGTTAAAACTAATTGTTTGGGTATGTTCTTCAGTTTGAACGTATACATCTCTAAATTGTCTCCGATTGACTGTTTTATTATCTAGAGATGCACTTTGTTTTAACATGTTGTTTCGTTGGTATTCTAGAGTTGGAGGTCGTTTAAGTTTTCGATCAATTCGGAAGTCTCTGGGCAGATAGCGATTCCCGACGAGTTGCCCACCTCGTTGGTCGCCAACAAGTTTAAATTATTAACATTAGTGGATGGTGTCGGTTGAGCGAGTTGGTTTTTGTTTCTAAGATTATTGTTGTAAGTTCGTTTGCGACATTCGCTTATGACGTGTCCTGGGTGTTTACAATAATTGCATATCTTAGTGTTTTCGTGTGTTGAGTTTAATTGATTGTTTAGTGGTCTATGCGGAGGATATGTCATGGGACGTCGAGTGGGAAGGTTTGTAGAGACCGGGGGCTTATGTGGTGCAATTGAGAGACGTGGGGAGTTTGTTCTAAATAATGTTTGACGAGCGTTATTCATGGCTCTGATTTTATCTTCCTGTAAGGCGAAACGCCCTGACTCAGACAGATTGTTAAACCCTTTAGTCCTTAACATCGTTCCGATATCTGAACTAATCCCGTTTATAAAGACATTTAGTGCGGTCTCCTCAGTAGTTGCAAGGCGACCCAGTAAAGTATTATCTAAGATTTCCGCGTTAAGTTTTTCTATTATTTTACTTCTACAGAGCTCTACTCTGTGATAGTATTCTGTAATCGACTCGTTATGTTTTTGGAACATTGATTGTAGTTCTAAGTTTAGGTGCGCGAGAGTTTTCGTTTGCGAAAATTTTTGGATTAGAAATGTTTTTAATTCCGCCCAGTTAAGAAATTGTTTGGCATGTACGTCTGCAGAATAAGGACCAGTTATTTTATTTAGGGCAAAAACTAGTACTGTCGGTTGTTGGGTTATAGTCGCTAGGTTAAATGCAGCGTCACACGACCGTATGTATCTGTATATATCGTTGTTATTTTTTGTATCGAAATCTGGGATAAGTTGTAGAAGAGTCCCTATGGGCATTTCTATCCCTTTATGATCTACACAAACGTCATTGGATTTTGACATGTTGAATGCAAAAATAGTACAAGAATAACTAGGGTAAAATATAGGAGAAATGGTAATTGTAAAATATACGAGAAATGGCAATTGTAAAATATACGAGAAATGGCAATTGTAAAATATACGAGAAATGGCAATTGTAAAATATACGAGAAATGGCAATTGTAAAATATACGAGAAATGGCAA